AAATTAGAAAGTATTACAGTCAATTTTGTTTGACTATATTAGTAGTAAACATCAGTACAGTTGTTCTTGATCAGGAGAATTTTCAGAAGTTGAACCTGAAAGCTTAACGTAATTCAGGTGTGCAGGTTCACAGTAGCACCAGTTGAATTTTAGTCTGCTGGATTTTCTCAGTAACTTTGTTTTCTTGTATTGTCTTTATGTTAGAATTACATAGATCTCACATAACTTCTCATCATATCCTATGAAAGTTATAATAAGTAGGTTTTATTTTTATCAACTTTAGGCAGAGAAGTAAAAATACCATTTTATCTGAGAGTGTATTCCCTTTCCTAAGCTGCTTTTTTGCATCTCCTATATAGAATTACTCTAAGTGTTCCATTCCAAAGAAGAGAAATTAGCTGCTACTTTAAAACTAAATTTGTTATAGATTTTTAGTTTATGTGGGAGTTGTCAATTTATATATTTTGATAATACCTATTATAACCTTTAAAATAAATATTCATATAACCAGTTTGTCTAATTATAAGCTACATTTCAAATGTGAATTTGCTTTCCTTGTCCCTTTAAAATTGTTTTCTAAATAAATCTGAGACAGTGTTTTTCATGTGTTTTGCAAACTTGTTACTGAGGTTATTTAATGGAATACAGTTTCAACCTATATTATGTTTTACTTCTAAATATTAGTATTTTTTTTGAAAAATCACTATTTAAATCCATAGGGTCTCAGCTTTAAAATAGAATTGGCCATACAATAAAGCAAGTCAGTGATAACAAAAGTGATGGAAACAGTCCTACCGGTTCTTATTTGGAAGGAAAGTACCTTTGAGTACAGGGCACACTGAACAGGAGTTTGTGACATTTCATGCTCCTTTTTCTTGCTCCATAAAACTTGAGCATCCTCAGAGCTACTGTCCTGCAAACAAACAGCTAATTGAACAGGTATCAGCTTTACCTTGTAATGTGATCTGCTTCAGTTGATTTTAAAGTAAAAGGTGTAAGCTGGACGTTCCTCAGCAATAATTTGGCGCATATCACATTCTAAAAGATACTGTATGTAAAATAGTGTCATAAGTGTTTACACAAATCAAAAGCGAGTTATCAAGCAGTAAATTTCTTTAGACATAGCATGAAGGTTTAAACTATTTAACTGCATAACTTGATTTACTGCTGCAATATATGGAATTTTAACTGAAAGAGTTATTTTTGTCTCAAACTCTGTGTGTGTGTGTGTGCGCACGCGTGCACACGCGTGCCTAGAAGTTTGTAAACAAGGTGAATACATATAGAAGTTTGGCCATCTGCACAAGTTTGTAAGCATCTATCCTTTGACAATTAATACATTTTTTTTCAAACACATAGTCAGTATTACTTCAGAAATTAAGGTATATTCAGTTACTTTAGCTATTTTTCATAGAAAAGTGGTGATGAATAAGTTAGTACTGTTGAATGTCTGTTGGACTTGAAATTTGTAATCATTCAGTATTTAATACTTTTCATGATATTTTAATTTTTTCAAAGTACTGTTACAGTTGTTTTCTTTAAAAGCCCTTCTTTGGGGACATTATAGCCTAATTCAGACAGTTATTTTAAAACTCTAACTTTGTAACTACTTTTATTTATAAGAATATTCCTTTTCCCAAGCTTGTATTATTAAAAGAAATTCCTGTCTTGGAGCACTTTTAATCATAGCCTGGATTATTTTTTTAAAATACATACTAAAGATACAGTTGCTCTTCCTAAACGTGGAGTCTGATGTGGTGCTTGATTTTAATCATACTCAGTTCACCTTTTATTGGTCAGTACAGAAAGAGGACGAGAAAGCAGTTTGCTGTGAAGTGCGATTTATCACATTCAGAGGCTGACTCATAATAGCTTTTCTACCATGCATGATACCTCTGCCAGAATTAAAAGGAATTTCTTAATTAAAACCAAAATACTCGTGGGTCTCAGAACTGTTTTCCTAATCAGATTTCAGTCACACTTGTGTGCGTCCATTGGCCATTGCCAGTGTTCTTGCTGTTTGGGTCTGTTTTGTTCTCAGTGCTGCCACCCTGTGTGTGGCAGTGCCTCTACTACATGCACCAATTTTCTGTTCTGTTATTATCAAGCGACAACATCCAAAACCACTTCTGGACAGTGAGCATACATATTAACATGAGTGTAGAAGGGACGGTGTACACAGAAGACTGTTCCTGTGTTTGATGCTGTACTGAGCCTAGATTGTCAAAAACTTACACTTTGAGAGGTGTGGTATTCAACTGCCAAGAAATGAAACTTGGGACTTTTTAAAGGTAAATACTTGTATTAGTTTCATCTGTCATTTCACTAAAGTGGAGTATAGTTGGACTGGAATTTTAAATTTAGCTTGAAACTGGTCAAAATAATAAAGCAGAAGTCGTGATCTTTCAAAGACGAGAGATGTTACAAGATATTTTAGCCAAGTGTTACTTAAAAGTTCTTTCGAGTAAAAACAAAACTAAAAATGAGCAGAAAAAGGAGGCTGTTTCTGTTTAAAAGAAAAAGAAACTTAACTTGATTTGTTAAATTATGCCCTGAATCATTGGCCAGCATGACTTTTAAATTATATCACCTAAAATACTTTGAATATTAATGCTATGCTTAAGCCATGGAGTACTTATCTATTTTATCACATTTAATTTTCACAGCAGTCTGTGAGATAGGAAGTGTAAGCATATTGTGAGTGTAAAAGGCAATAAGGACTTCAGAAATCAGGATTCTGTTATTTTTTACAAGTAAGTCTTTATAATGAAAAGACCATAAGAGCTAATCATTGTACATTGGTTTGCTGGTGTAAACCTAAATTATGTCCATATTGAAGTTAATGTATTTATAAAATAATAAATTTGTGCAAAAATAAAAGATTCTGGCATAAAGTTGATGTTGAGTAAATAACTCAAGTTAGAAAGTATAGTGTGTCTACTTATTTTTAAAATATGCATAAGGAACTAGGGGAAATTTATAAACTTAATAATTTAAAGGAGATTTTTGAAAATATAAATGAACTTTGTTTTACAGTATGGATTTTAATAGGCACAGTTTTGTTAATTTTTGCTTTCAAACAAAAAAAGCCATCCACTTTCAGAATAATGAACCAACATTTATTCCAGAATTTTTGAATGGTTTTAGTTCAATAAACATTATAATTCTGTATCGGGAAAATTGAAAATACTGCTTAACTTGTTTAACTTTAGATGTTAGACTTCCAGGATAAAATTGTCACTGATGATCTTCCCATCCAGAAGAGTTGAGAGAATTTAATACAGTAAATAGTATTACCCCAGTTATTAAAAATAACAGATTAAATTCAAGATCTCCATTTGGAAATTCACGTAACCATCCCCATAGTTTGGGGGATTTAGGCCCTGTGTCTTCCTTTCTGTCTCCCCCAAATACACATAAATACCCATTGAAATTTTTTTAACTTGATTGAAATTGGGAATGATTAAATATTTAATCAAGATCAAAGTATTATCATCTTGAGAAAAGGAAATAATTTTTTAAAATTCTGTGCTCTATCTCATTTTTTATTCTTTAAAGCAACTTAAAGATGAGTCTGAATCAGCTGAACTTATTTTGATAAGGCAAAATGAGAATTGTCTGGACTTGTGTAAAATAGCAAGACTTTTGACTGAATGATTATTTGAGCGATCTAAAATATAAAATACAATTATAGACTCCCAAGTTTCTTGCCAGTTCCCAACTCTAGATGCTACTATCTAGAGTGATTACTGGTGTTTAATCAGACATTGATAGCTTCTGCAGTGAGACAGTGAGACAGGTTGTGGTTTGCATTTGCTTTGCATCCTATTTACTAAAACTTTATTCTTTGTTCCCAATGGGAGCCAGAAGTGGGGAAGAGTACCTCATGCCACTTTTTGGTTACTGGTATATGCCCTCTGCTTTTTCCATGCCTTTTTTTTATGTCTTTTGGATGTTGGATTAATGGAAAAAAAGAGACCACAAAGTGGTATATTTTAAAATGCGACATGAATGGCCCAGACATTAAAATCTATACGTATCCATGGGAGGGAGAGGGCCCTGAAAAGGGTGTGAGTTAAGACTAGGCAGGAAGAAGGGAGGTTCAGGTGGAAGGAGGTTGGGAGGCAGAAGTGTGCTTGTCCACAGCCACCAAGAAGACCAGTCTGACTGGAGAGGGGGGTTTGTAAGGGAACAGTGCAAGGGAAGACTGGAAAAGTATGCTGAGGCTGATTGTGAAAACCTTGAGTTACCAGCCTGGGAAATTTACTCTGTGTACTATGGAAGACACTGCTGCTGATTGAGCAGGGGAGGATGAGTTAGGAAAATGAAGTGGATTTGAGATCCAGAGTAAATTGAGCCCATGGATGTGAGACCAGAGTTCTCGAAACATGAACATACTCAACCTTGCAGCAGGGGTCCCCCTGCCAAGGCGGAGACTCAGGTCTTTATTGCTAGGTCCACTCCCCCTAGAAAGTTCTAAACATGGATTTTCCAGTGCTTCTTTGCTGTAGCCATTTGGATCTGGATGAATGATAGGCATCTCAGAGTCTCAGGTCCCTCCAACAAGCAGTTCATACTTATGTAATGTTATTAATGGCCCTATCATTCTTTTAGGTCCCTAGTCACCAATCCACTTCTCTGTGTTCAGTTGAAACTTCAGTTTTTAGGTTTAAGACTTCTGTTGTGGAGACATTAACAAAGTGGACAGAGGAAAGAGACTTAATACCCAGTGGATTCAATTCCAGGGTGGGAGGGATGGTGGGGGATGCTGAGAGCAGGGAACGGAAGGGATGAGCAGCCAGCAGGTGTGGCACAGTCAGGTTCTTGCCTGGCACTGAGCAGAGGGCATCATAGTGAGTGGAGAAATGACCAAGAAGGCTGGCAGGGGAGGCTGGTGCCAGGATGTATCAGCTCTCCAGTACCATGCCTAAGAGTTTTCATTCTGTTGAGAAAGGGACCCTCAGGGAGTCAAAGCACAGTGGTTAATGATGTGTCTGTACCTGTTTCTCCGTTCTCTGGTCCTTTGCTCATTCCTGTCTTCATGGTCCCTCAGCATGTGTTGTCCTGGGCCTCCTTCCCTGCCTGCCTCCCCAGAGAAGACTGGCACACCTGGTCGGTGTAAATTCCGCCTGGCTCTTCTCCGCCTCTGGATCCTCCTGTAGTGGTGCCTAGCCCTCCTGCGGGGGCTCAAGGGGGATTTGACTTCCCTAGGGAGGCTGGACCCATGGCTGTGAGCATCTTGCACTAGGACTGCTGGAGCCCATTACTCCATCATTGCTTGGGTCCTTGTGTTATCTCTCGCCCCTCCCCCCCAGGAATTTCCCATTGCTTCCCTTCCATCTCAACTCTTCCTTCCCAAACTGACATAGAAGACCTCTGCCTTCATCCCACCCCCTACTCAAGTTGGTGTCAGGCTTCCTGAAAGAGCCATCTACATGTGGTCTGCTTCCTTCCTCTCTCCTTCCTCTCTTTTTGTTTTTGTTTCTGAAGATTTATTTATTTATTTGAAAGGCAGAACTAGAGACCGACAGAGAGAGAGAGAGATCTTCTGGTTCACTCCCCAAATGGCCTCAATGGCTAGGGTTTGGACCAGGCCAAAGCCAAGAGCCTGGAATTCCATCCAGGTCTCCTGCATAGGTGGCAAGGGCCCAAGCCACCGTCTGCTGCTTTCCAGATGAGTTAGCAGGGAGCTGGATCCAAAGTGGAGCAGCCAGGACTCGAACCAACATCTATATGGGATGCTGGTATTGTAGCAGCGGTGGCTTGATTGTCTAAGCCACAGTGCCAGCCCCATCCTTACTCTTTTTTTTTTTTTTAAAGATTTATTTATTTATTTATTTGAAAGAATTACACACAGAGAGAGAGGCAGAGAAAGAGAGAGACATCTTCCATCTGCTGGTTCACTCCCCAGTTGGCCACAATGGCCAGAGCTGCACTGATCCAAAGCCAGGAGCCAGGAGCTTCCTCCAGGTCTTCCCATGCAGGTGCAGGAGCCCAAGGATTTAGGCCGTATGCGACTGCTTTCCCCGGGCCATAGCAGAGGGCTGGATCAGAAGTGGAGCAGCTGGGACTCAAACCCATCCCCATATGGGATGCCGGCACTGCAGGGGTAGCTTTACCCACTATGCCACAGCACCAGCCCACGTCCTTACTCTTTAACCATCCTGCCTGCGTCGTCATTTGGGGCCTGCATTTGAAGAGAACATATATTGAAAGTTCCCAAGTGCCAAATCTGGTGGCATGTTTTCTGTTTCATTCCCATGTGGCCTCTGCAATGTTCCACACCCTTTTCAAATTTCACCTCTGGCTTTCCTGCCTCTCCCACTCCTCCTCTGGCACTTCTTTAGCACTTCCTTTTGTGGTTCTTCCACCCGTCACTAATCACCAGGGCTCTCTAGGTCCCCTTCTCTTAGGGTGTACTTTCCCTGAGCACCAACTCCCTCTGCTCCTGTTCCTTTGGCTCACAGTTTCATGGGAAGAAAGCCTCATACCCTCCTCTCTCCAGGACCTCCATACCTCTTGTGGTTTGCACTGTCTCTACGTTTATGTTCAGGACACCTTTCTTCCCATCTCTTACTCAATGTGCCTGCCACCCCGGATCAGGTACTGTGTACATCCCTAAGCCAGATCCCCACCACCACCACCACTGAGTAAGGGAAACGGCAGTAAGCAGGACACCCTCATATTGCAGCAGGTGGTATGAGGGAAGTGACATGAACACAAGCGTGAAAAGAAGCCTAGCCTTAGGGACTGGAGGGAAAAGGACCCTTAGAGACAGTGATCAGAGGAGACCTTGATAAAGGAACCTTTGTGTAGAGGAGTGAGGGGTGTGAAGGGACCAGCTACGAGGACTCAGGACTCTTACATTCAGAAGTGCTGGTGCAGAGTAGGAGGGGCTCAGCACTCTGGAGACAGGAGGAGCAAGAGCTCCTGTCATGCGCAGAACTCCTGAGCAGAGTGTAGCTCCTCTTGCAGAGTGGCTGTCACCTCCAGTCTTAGCCTCATCTGTGCTGTACTCTGCCTGTAGCCCCAGGGCCCAGACATTATGAAATCGTCCCGTTATGGTGTAGTACCCTAAAAGTGAAACTCTCTGGGACTAGTGTTCTCTTCCACATGCCTCCCTCCCTGGCCCCCTTGGGAGCCCTGTCACTGGGTGGCCCTAGTCTGCCTGCCTTGGCTGTGGTTCACTTCCTTCACAACTTCCCTGGAACACTGTTGCATGTTGTGTGCCTCCAGCTACCTCTCTAAGCTGAGCCCTGGAGAGCAAGGGCCACGTACTCCCAGCAGGTACTCACTAGACACCTGGGGAGTACTGCCTTGCTTTCAGGGCCAGTCGGAGAGTTGATTGTAATGAAAGGTAGCCAGAGGAAGCCTGGAATGGCAGTTAGGGGTTGGGTGACAAGAGTGGGCTGTCCCAAGGCGTGTCCCAGGAGAGCTTTGGACCCCACATAGCATTCACAACAGGAGGCCTGGGTTTGGCCCTTTAGAGGCATGCAGCCTCCTGTTAATTGTGCAACACCAGTCAGCAGGGCTGGAGGTAGGGGACAGCTATACCCTCCTCCCTTCATAACTGACCCCTGCCCAACACACACCCACAAACCTTTGAGTGCCACCAGACAAGCTGACCCTCACCCACAGCAGCCTTTGCCATGGGGCTGCACAGACAAGTACATGTGCCCCAAAGTCAGACACAGACACAGCCACCTGAGGACAGAGAATGTACACATACCCAAAGCACCCCATGCTAGGACAGACCCCAGATCCCAGAGAGACTTAAACATAGTGGGGATGGAAGGCACACATGCCTGGGGAAACTATCTGTGCAGCTCTATGTAATTATGTTTGTATTTCAGCAGAGAGAGAGCAGGAAAACAGAGATAGACACATAGCCAGCTCATACCAGGGATTAGAAGCAGAGATGTGCAGCCTAAGGGGAGACTCAGCAGTGGGGAAAAGACACATCTTCTCCAAGATAGGCTGCGAGAAAGACTGACAGCTGCAAGAGACAGAGAGAGTGATACACATCTACAAGGTGGAAGTGGGAGTGACAGGCAGACTCCAGGATGGGCAAGACAGAGTCACACTCACACCAGGAGGTGGAGGGAGAGCCACAGTCATGCTAGGATGTGACAAGAGACACACTCACACCACAAAGTGTGGGGAGAAAGGTTCAAGATTTAAGGAGAGAGACATTCACACCAGGGTGTGTTGAAGACACACCACAATATGAGGAGAAGTGTATGCGAGAGTTGCAGGAGACACAGTTGGGCCAGGATGTGAGGGGAGACACACTCAAGCCAGCATGTAAGGAGGGGGACAGACTCACACCAGGATGTGGGGAGAGACACTCACTGCAGGACCAGGATGTTAGGGGAGACATATTCACACCACGATGTAAGGGGAGAAACACTCCAGAATATGAGGGGAAGCATGTTCACACCAGGATGTGAGGAGAGAGTCGCTCATGTCAGGATGTGAAGGGTGGAGACAGTCACATCAAGATATTTGGGGGAGACATGACATTATAAGGGAAGACACATTTGCACTCCAGAATGTGAGGGGAAGCATGTTCGCACCAGGTTGTGAGAAGAGCCCAGAATGTGAGGGGAGACATTCATACTAGGATATCAGAGGAGACCTTTCACACCAGGTTGAGGGGAGCCACCATTATAGCAGGATGTGCAAGGGGCAGTGAGGGACCACTCCAGGGTGTTTGGGGAGATACAGTCCCACTGAGAGGAGACACACCATTCTCACTTCAATGGGCAGATTCACTAGGCCCATTAGGATGGGGAGGAGAGACACGTGTGCCCTGAATGGGCTAGACACAGAAGCACCTAGAGGTGGGGGACAGCCCCCCCAAAGGGAAAAGAGAGACACACCCACCTGAGAAGAGGAACACAAGTACACAGCAGGCGGATGGCACCCAGGAGGTACAGTAGCGTACATGTACTCAGAGAAGGAGAGCAGCATGTACACACACACACTGGGAGAGGAGAGGGATGTGCGTGTCCCCCAGAGAGACAACAACACAGTGGGGAGGGAGTTGTCATGTGTGCACACACATTCACTCACCTCCAGATAGGGTGGAGAAGAGATCCAGACATGGGTGGAGGAAGATGCACGTGCAAGCACACCTACCAGGAGGGAAGAGAGACAAGTACAAGAAGGCAGGGAGGAAGGCATAGACAGCGACAGGAGACACACAGGCAGAGCCCCCAACTCCCAGAAGAGGTGAAAAAGACCTGCATACACAGTTCTAACATCATGATTTGCACCACTGCGCCAGTGACTTGGGGCTGGGAGGTGCTGGCAGTGCTGGCAACCCCTGGGCATGCTGCATCCTGCTGCCCCCTGGATTTTCCTATAGACAGCCATAAGTGGCACTCAGTACAGGACCACTGAAAGCACCTTGAACTCCAGCCTGTGCTCTTCAAGTCACACATGTCCGGACAGAAGGTCACACCACATTCCTTTTGCCCTAATTAAAATGCTCACAATGGGGCTGGCGCTGTGGCACAGTGAGTTAACGCCCTGGCCTGAAGCGCCGTCCTCCCATATGGGTGCCGGTTAGGGTTAGGATTAGGGGTTAGGGTTAGAGTTAGGTCTTCAAGTCACTGCTGCTCCTCTTCCAATCCAACCCTCTGTTATGACCTGGGAAAGCAGTAGGAGATGGGCCAAGTCCTTGGGCCCCTGCACCCACGTGGGAGACCCAGAAGAACCTCCTGGCTCCTGGCTCCTGGCTCCTGGTTTCGGATTGGCGCAGCTCCAGGTGTTGTAGCCATCTGGGGAGTGAACCAGTGGATGAAGACCTCTCTCTCTGTCTCCACCTCTCTCTGTAACTCTGTCTTTTAAATAAATAAAACAAATCTTTTTTTTTTAAAATGCTCACAGTTTACAGCTTAGGCAGCTTTTGTTTCCTATGTAAGGTTTTTTCTGAATGTAATGTACATGGGGGGGTCCCAGTCCTCTTAGGAGTACACAGTGGGTTTTAGAATCCTGTGGTTGAACCAGCACCATAGCTTATTACCAGAACATGAATA